AAAAATTAATAGAATGATCGAACTTTAAAATACTACAATCAAAAATCTGTTTTCCTATTACTATTCTCTCTATTCTCTAAAATACTCAAACTAGAATTAATATGAATGAACTTAATATTGTATTTATTTTAATACCTACTCCAATCCAAATGAATAAGATATTCATAACCACACACCTAAAACCAAACCATGGGATAAAACTAGCACCTTATCACAAAATTAATATATGACCTCCTAATATGATACATCATTTAACTCATTAATTGTAGCTATATCTTTATGTCAATTGTAAATTGATATTACTTTTTTATCTCTTTTTATTTTTCATTTAAAAAATATATTATCTATTAATTTGAAATTTTAAAATAATGTTAATTATTATTTTATCAATTATAAAATAACAATAAAATATATAAAATATCAAAATAATAAATGTGAGACACAAAAAATACGTTAGAAAGTTATAAACGATTTCAAAATAAATTATAGATCAATTTTTTTAAAAAAAATGTATAGTATAATTTTAGGCAATAAATGAAAGGATATACTTTTAATTGGTAGAAGAAAAATAATATTTATATCATAAAATAAAATGATAATTTTTTTTCCTAATATTAATTATGAAGAGGACAAAGTTAAAAGAGAATGGAATGAGATGCGTACAAGTCTAAACAACAATGAGTAGTGGGGGTTCATCAAAAATTAATTCCATCAATACCAAAAATGTCTCAAGAAGATTATATTTGAAATAGAGAAAAGAAATTAAAATGGAAAAACAGTATTTCAAAACATGTCAAATCTCATTCCAATTTGCACGCATGTGTCCACTTAGAGAACAAATCCTCGGAAAGATATGAGAAGCCGATAATTATATATAGCCCCTACGCATCTTTTCACTTTTCAGCATCACCTTGGGGAAAAAAATTCTAGAATACGTGTTCCTCCTATTTAAATTAAGACACATAGAATACATGTTTATTTTTAATATTATTTTAGGAAAATAAAATATTAAAATAGAATAATTATCCATTAAAATCTAGAATACGTGTTCTTTTCTCTATCATTTTCTTCTGCTTCCTTTCACTTCTAACCTTTTGTTTTATTCTTGAAAGCATGTTTATCTCGAATGTTTTATTATTAGAATTTAATATCTTATTCTTCATTTATCCGTTTTTCTACTTGTAATTTTCTTATGGTACGGTTTGCTTCATCATTCATTTTTTTGAAGTATGTGCAATC